AGCATCAATTCAACTCACTATATCAGTAATTATGTCGACAGTTCTGAACAATAATATGTTGAGAAAATCACCTCTATATATGCTGCAGCAGCTTCAGAATGTTTCTCGTTCGTCCTTGCTATAAATATGTCCCAGAATACAGACCACCATTCAAACAAAAATCCTCCAGGAGCATCAATTGCTGCACGTCATCATATGCAAGGACTATTATTGTCAATGCAACGTTCTATTCTTAATCACTGCACAGAATGTAATACAGTAATCTAGTTCCAATATGAACACTCTCCTCTCGTTTACACTCAACTCGAGTCTACTTAGTAGCCACATCAATCATGCTCGATGTATTGAGTGGAACCAGACAAAATCTTATTCCACTAGAAACTTACTGAATAAGAATTGACAGAAATTTCTGAAGTATTACCTACTGGATCTGGAGCGACCTTTCCTTCATTCATGAAGGACTTAGCCGTGGCATGTAATTTTTTCTTCACTAAATAATCATAGATGTACACATCGAGCCTGGAAAATCAACGAGAGTTGGTGAAAAGTATAATTGAATGAAATTCTAATAATAGACTGAAGCAGAAACATCTAATAATGGATGAAAGGAAAATTGAACAAAAATATTTACATCTTATCTGCTTCCCAGTTACTCTGCGCCATCTTCTATCTTGAAACCCAACGAACTGCTCAAGTAAACGACGAAAATCCTACGGTAATTATAACCTATATCTGCAAAATTAAGCCAGAAGATTCTGCAGCCTGTTGAATTCAGCCCTACAGCCTTAAAAAAACACCAAAAAGACGGATCAACGCCCGCATTACCAATCTCGAAGTCCTGAAAGTAAGATCTTCATTGATCAAATATCTCGTCCTCAAATTCACAATCACGTACAGAAAAAATTCAATTCAATAAGCGCGAAACTTTTTCGCGATCTCAGACAAAGCGGTAAACAATTTAGCAGCTCAAAAACAGCCGAAATTCTCACCTAAATCAAGGAGCTTGTAATTCGGTCGATTAACAAGTTCTAGGGCTAGTGATCAGAGATTTTACCAGGTTCGAACTGCTCCAAGTTAACATCACTTGAATAGCCTTCGAGGACTTCAAAAGAAGCTGAGTTCTGGTTCCAAACCTGACTTCGTGCCCGAGGCTCGGACCCGAACTTAAGCTGGCCCGTTAATTGACGTTGTTGGGCTTTTCCATTTTGACAAACCAGCACGGAAACTGTGACGAGTTGGGAGAATTAGGACCGTTAGATTGTACACGTGGATTTTAAAGAAAAAGACTAAGCCCAGAGAATCAAAGATATTAACTTCGGAATATCGTTGAATGGTAAATTTATTTTATTTTTTATTTTTTAATCGAATTATCGACTTTTTAAAATAATAATTACTATTTGTCTATTTGGTTATTATAATTAATTAAAGATAATTTAGCTGTGGTTTGTAGAATATCTTAATATATATTTTTTTCTTATAAAATTTTGAATTTGTAATGAAACCATAATTTTTAATTTATAGTTTTTAAAAAATTAGAGACTAAATAACCTTAAACTGAATTTAAATTAAAAACAAAAATTTTATTGCATCAGAAAAAAATAAATAAGAGGAATTAATTTAAATTGGTGACCTGGCAAAAGGACAAAGAGGGAACTTGACAACGTCAAATGATCTACGTGGCGATGCCCACATGGTTAGGAACTCGGTTCGGGTACAGAGCTAGGTGTACATGGCAAATTCGTGACCGTTGGATATTCGGCGAAGACGGAGAGAATGATCTCTGATTCGGTCTCCAATATTAATGCCACGTGCCGGACCCCTTCCCCATATATAAAGGTAATATGATATCAATATATTCTTTTTAGTACGAATTAATATAAAAATTCAAATATATAATTATTTAATGAGTTAAATCACAACCACAGTCCTAAAACTTTTAAAAAATATTTAATCGTCACTACCCTTCCAATTTTACGGCAACAATAATAACAATTTATCGGATAAATATTTTTTTAATTTATATTTCGAAATTTTCTCTAGGCGTATCAGTGGTTATCTATTAGACATCATCTAACAAAAAAAAAAAATCGATTTAATTTACTGAATTAATATTTTTTTGATCGAATTATTATCTCGAAAATAGAGTTATAATTCAATCCAATCCAACCCTACATTTATTTTTTTAAAAATTAAAACAAATAAAAATAAACTCTCATAACCGTTAAAAAGATAAATAAAAGTGGGATTGAACGTAGAATTTGATATAAACTATCAACAAACTCCCAGCTAATTTCTAAAAATAAAGAAAAAAAATCATAATTACAGCAATACAACTCAATTCAACCAAGTTGAAAGTAAAAAATTGAGTTGGGTTAAATTATAAAACATATTGGAACGGTTACGAACACAATCTAAAATGATTTTTAAAACTCGACCCAATAGAATACATTTATACAAGTAAATAAATATATGGAATATTAAATAGGGAAGTACGGGTAGTGGTTCGAACTGCGGAGTTGCATGATGGTGGGAGGACATGGTTTAGTTGCGCCATTAATAGCCGAACCCAACAGCCTCCCTATTAAATGACATCACATTACAGGCCCCATTAGCCATTCCCAGTGTTTTTTTCTTCTTTCCAACTTCAGTCCCTGCAGCTTTTTCCATAACCACTTTTGCCCAATTCAAAACCCTCCAACAGACGTGAAATAATACTTTTATAATTACATTTTGATCCAAATTTTTACAGTTTCTTTTAATTTAGTCCCATATTTTCAAATATTTAAATTGAATTCTTATTTTTGTAATAATAAATCTTAAAATTATTTTATTTTTAATTAATTTATCTCCTTTTAAAGATCTATTAAAAATTAAAAAAAAATCAAAATAATCTACTATTTTATTAATGAAATAGTTGGCCACATTGTTATAAAAATAAAAAATAAATAAATAAAGGAAAAATAGCACCTCTGAATTTTTTTTTTTTATATATATATATACAAATTTATTACAAATAACGAGAAATTAAAGATTTCAACCTACCACTGGCAAGAAGATAATATTTAACTGTTTCAAATGTTTTTAAATTGATAATACTCAATATCTAGAGGAATTAAATTATATTTATTTTAAATAAGGTAAAGTTAATATTGTTTTTATTTGAATATTATATTTGTGGTGTCGACTATTTATTTATTTAATAAGTAAATAAAATATAATAGAATTAAAAACTCATATTGTTTCCAAATTATCTAGCTAAAGCACACGCTTTTGGCATGTTAGTGATGAAAATAAATTGACTCGTGTCTTGAAGGATAAGGTTCTTAACAACAAATTACAGCAACTTTAATTTTATGGTTTTTTTTTTTTTTTTTTGTCGGACTAATATTTATAAAATAATTCATATGTATTTATATTCATATGTGTAATAATTAATTGGGAACTATATAAAAATGAATAATTAAAAAATGCAAGATAAAAATTAACATTGATTTTTTTCCCAATAATAATTAATACAATAAAAATGCATGGTAAGTGTCATATTCACCCTTTTTTGGCCGCGAATTTGGTGATTGTGCGGCGCTCACTCTCAACACTGAGTGAGTCAAGCCAATTTCATACCACGTTGCCGACAGTTTGACAACAACCTTGAATCCCGTTTTAAAGAAAAGATTTTAGATAACGGAGGAGAGAGGTTTAGGAAAAAGTGTTTTGAAAGCAATAATGAGATAGAGAGATTGAGAGTGGTGTTATATAGCATGCAAGCAAAAATGCAACAACAACCGCTTAAACCGTATATAACTTTTCGGGTAGAGAGAATTTGACAACTAGTCGCATCCTATAGTACATTTTGAGGCATTTCATGTCTACCAAACGTTGCCATGACTTCGCCGAAACGTCATGAAAGCGATACAAGAAAGTAGTAAAGTAGTATAAAGCAAGGGTTACGGCGTGTCATAGGCATGTAGCCATGGGTGTATATTGTTTTTAACTGAGTTTTCATGAAAGAAATGGAGTTTAAAAATAAAGTTGGACAAATATATATTTAATTTAGTTTAGAAAATAATAATGATAGGATTTAATATTTTATGTATATATAAAATAAAAATAAAAATTAATGGCAATTCAGATAATGCGAAAAGGCGAAGAGGAAGGAATCCTGTCTGATTGGCTAATGTTTTTATTCCTTTTAATGGATTGGCGGAGGGACAGTTGGAAATATAAATGGCACTGCCAGGGGTAGATGGAGACGTCCTTGAATTAAAGTCAAGCTGTATTTAATTTTAATTTTAATTTTAATTTAATTTTGAATTTAATTTACCTGTCTCTCGTGCCAGTGTCTGTTTGTTTTTTCGTCTATATAAATCACGTTTGATCTCTTTGTTCTGAGAGCAAAGCTACCAATGGCGTCTTTCTCTCTGCGTGCAGTGGCTTTTTGGTTGTGTGTGTGGATTGCCTTGGTCGGAGCCGACAATGTTGTAGAAGATGACAAGCGTTTGTTTCATCGGCCACTTGGTTTTTTTAAGGGGAGAGGGTTTCGCGGAGGTGGAGGTTTTGGTGGCGGTGGCGGTGGAGGTTTTGGAGGCGGAGTTGGAGGTGGATTTGGTGGGGGAGCTGGCGGTGGGTTTGGTGGTGGAGCTGGTGGTGGCGGCGGTCTAGGCGGTGGAGGTGGGTTGGGAGGTGGTGGTGGTTTGGGTGGTGGAGGAGGGCTTGGAGGCGGTGGTGGTTTGGGTGGTGGAGGAGGCTTAGGGCATGGCATTTATAAAAGGGGGTTTAAAAGTGGAGGATTAGGTGGTGGCGGTGGATTGGGTGGTGGTGGAGGGCTCGGTGGAGGAGGTGGTTTAGGAGGTGGAGGAGGCATTGGGCATGGTATTTACAAAAGGGGTTTTAAGGGTGGAGGACTTGGAGGTGGTGGTGGTATTGGCGGCGGAGGAGGACTTGGCGGTGGTGGCGGTCTAGGTGGCGGCGGAGGACTTGGAGGTGGAGGTGGTCTCGGTGGTGGTGGAGGCCTTGGAGGCGGAGGTGGTCTCGGTGGAGGTGGAGGACTTGGAGGAGGAGTTGGTGGCGGTCTTGGAGGAGGAGTTGGTGGGGGTCTTGGAGGAGGAGCTGGCGGGGGTCTTGGAGGAGGAGCTGGTGGGGGTCTTGGAGGAGGTGGTGGTCTTGGAGGAGGAGCTGGTGGGGGTCTTGGAGGAGGAGCTGGTGGCGGTCTTGGAGGAGGTGCTGGTGGTGGGTTTGGTGGCGGAGGTGGTGTAGGTGCTGGAGGCGGATTTGGAGGAGGAGCAGGAAGTGGAGTTGGCGGTGGCGGTGGCGGTGGCGGTGGTGGAGGGTTCGGCGGAGGTGGTGGCATTGGTGGTGGTGCCGGTTTCGGCGGTGGAGCGGGGTTTGGCGGCGGTGGCGGGCACCACTAAAATGCATGGTATTCAAATATATCTATTTCTTATCTAAATTGTGAAAATTATTATGTCTGGTTATCCAACACCGTACCCTTTATTATTGTTTTCCTTTATGAGAGGTTATTTTAAATTATGTAATGTGAATTTTATAGCCTTCAACTTAATCTCCGTTTCTATTCAATACGGTGCGTTTTGGATGAACCGATCTCGACCCAGTCGTCTTCATGCATGCAGAGTACGACGCTAATCATTAAAGCATTTTTATTAATTATTATTACATCACCTATTTTCATATTATTCCACGTCATCAATTTATTCACATCATTACGTTTTTAATTTTGGAAATAATTTGTTTTATTTTATATTTTCAATTTTAAATTAGGCATTTATATTAAAAAACAATAAATAAATTACTCAATTATTTATCTTAGTAATTCCATATATCTCATTATGGTTGAAATGTCCTTTTCATAGAATATTAACATGCTTTAATATCACAAAAAAAGAGGATATTTTTTAGAATATTAAAATTTGTATCCTGATTATTTTGGCATTTAGTATATTGGAATCTTGGTGTAAAAGGGTAATTTTGAGTTTTCACATGTACAAGAGAACTCAAATAAAATGTGAAGATTTTAAGACTTGTATTAAATACTAGATTCGATCTCTAATTTTCAAAATATTACATTTTATTTTTTAGTGTTAAAAGCTTAATTTTTAATTGGGTCGTAAATTTAAAATTTGTACTTAAATTTTTTACATTTTTAATTTTGATTTTCAAATTTAATTCTTATTTTTAATATTTTAGTTGATTATTTTAAAATTATTGAGCCATTTTGTAATTAACTTGCATTATTAAAAACTAATTGAACCTAAGACGCATTATTATTAATAAGATTTGAAATAGGTATTTAGTGAAAAAAATGGAGGGCAAAAGTGTAAATATTGAAATACAGAAATATTGAAAATATAATTCAAAACTCAACTGTAAAAAATGTAATATTTATAAAATTACGAATGTGTCCTCGGCCTACAAGTTGAAATAGGTATTTAGTGAAAAAATGGAGGGCAAAAGTGTAAATATTGAAATACAGAAATATTGAAAATATAATTCAAAACTCAACCGTAAAAAATGTAATATTTTTAAAATTATGAATGTGTCCTCGGCCTACAAGTCACAGTTCCGAGACTATTAACTAGGAGTATACATGGTTCGAGTTAGTTTGGGTTGACGGATTTTTTTGACCCAACCCAAAAGTTTGGGTTGATTTGATTGGTAACCCAACTCAACTTAAAACTTTTCACAACCCAACCCGAAATTTTGGGTTGGGTTGTCAAATTTTTTTTTTAACATTTATTTATGTATAATTTATAATTATTCGGATATAATGTTAGATAAAATATATTAAAAGGTCACAAACAAACAAAAATTAATTCATAATTATTAAAAAAAATATATTAAATGGTAACATATTAACATGGTTGAACAGTGTTATTAAAGTCCCCTAATGGCAACCTTCTTTAAAATTAGTTAAAGCAAAAAAAATAAAAAGATTTATCATGAAATTAAATAAACAATAATAATCTATATATAAATGGTTTAACATTGTCATAAAATTAAATACCATACCAACATTTTTTGAAAATTGGTTAAACTAAGAAAAAAAAAATATAGAAATATATCATGAAATTAAATAAACAATAAAAATGATTAGTTTAAATATAGTGTAAAAAAAAAAATATATATATATATATATATAAATAGTTCGTATGACACCGCTAAATGCTAACATTTTTTTTGAAAATTGGTTAATGTAAGAAAAATATAAAAAAATAAGAAAAAATATTTAAAGATATGGTAAAAAAAAAAGAAAAAAAAAAAAAGAAAAAGAGATATATATATATATCTATATATAAATAAGAGTAGTTCAAAATTAAAAACAGTAAATGCTAACATTTCTTGAAAAAATTGAAAATTGGAAATGGGTCAAAGTAAAAAAATATAAGAAAATAAGAGAAAATATACAAATATTTTAGTTGAAATATGGTGAGTTATTAAAAAAAAAAAAAATATCCGGATGGCAAGCCCACTCTAAGAAAAAGTTATTAATATATTTTATATATTTAAGTTTGGCTCTCCAACTCTTTTTTGTCTATAAACTCGAAAATCGAACGGTAGGTTTAGAAAAATGAACCAAACCCTACTCGAAATGCTAATCCAATCCAATCCAAGGTTCGAGTTGGGTTAGTCCGGATTGTCGAGTTGAATGTACACTCCTACATAAAAAAAAATTATTAGGCATAATTAGGGAGGATAAATTTGTAATTATAAAGAGTGGATTAAATTTGTAATTTAACGATTAGGGTAGAGGATAAATTTGGGCTGACTCATAATTCGATGGTTGGATCGAGGACCACTTGAAAGAATCCAAAAGCCCACGACTCGGCCCGACGCTACCCATGTCGTTCATGTGTAGAAATCGGCACGGCGGGTTCTAATTCATCTCGTTCTTCGAAGGCCACAGAGTTCCCAGATTCTCTACAAAATGGAATTCTGCAATTCACTCATCTTCTTCACCCTGTTAATCATCCTCCCTCTCGCTAGGGTTTGTTTTATCTGATCGTTTCCGTGATTCTGTCTGATTCTTAAGTTATTGTTCTTTTTTTTTTTCCCGCGGATTTATACTTTGGAGCAGCCGCGGGATCTGATAATTCTTCAATTTGACGTGTTTTACATTTTTATGGTTTGATCCAGTGCGGGGATACTGGCTCGGTGATTTTCGTTGATAGCTCGTCGCATCAATATCTTCGATCTCATTCGACCGATGATGGCTCCGAGGTAATTTAATTTATTCTGTATTTTCTCTGCCCTGGAAAGATTGGTTCGGTTGGCTATCTGTGAATAGACTCGAGTTTCCTGCTCAAATTGTTTTGAATTCTGTTTCCATATCTGTGTTGGATCTTTGCGAATTCCGGCGGATTAAAGAAAATGAATCTGGAACTACTTATTTTGAACTGAGTTGAGCTGATCTTTCTTGAATGTTAGCATTGTGTTTGGTTCACATCGTAATATATAGATGATTGCATTTTGAGATTCACATGATCATCCTGCTAACGAGTGGTATCAGCCATCGTCTGTTTGTAACTGACGTGCAGTTGTTAACGGATTTAAGAAAGCCTATGCGTCACATTTCGTGATGTTGAAATTGAAATGGAATTTTGTGGGTTTTTTTTTTTTTCTTTTTTGACGGGGTGTTCTGAGAACATTGTGAACCCTTCTAGTGTCAACCTATCTGACCATCAATGGGCAATTTTAAATGTTTTGTCATGTTGTATTACCATATTATGCCCATTGCTTACCCATATTCTCAGTGGGAAATATTAATGTGACAGAATGTCGAACTTTACCCTGTTATTTTTTTTGGGTTAAAATATTAGCTAATCTTCTCATGTTATGCTCGCATATTTGATTTCCACAGGTTAGTTCAATGTCACTACCAGAAGTTGCTGCTACTGTGTCAGTCTTGCTTGGTTTTGCGCCGCCTTCAACGCTTTCAGCTTCTGGTTCATCTAAGGTTTTTGATTGTTTGATAAGTTTTGCAGAAGTTTTCGTTGTAAATTATGTATGCGGCCGTAAGGTTTTGATCATGTTATTAGTGCCTTTTTTGCAGCTGAATGGGATTTTGATGCCAAATCCGCTTGATAGGCCTCGTTCAGTTTTTATGCTTGAGATTAAAGGAACACATGGTCTCTGCAGTAATTTTGAAAATGAAATTGAAAATGTTATTCTTGGTTGCAAGTTTTTTAAAGGTGTTGACCTTTTTTAATTCTGATACTTGCAGATCCGGAAGTTGTAAGCCTTGTTAGTGGCATGTCCAGCAATGTTCTTACGAGTAAGGTTCACGTAAGTTCTGAGAGCGCTGACATCCAACTTCCCGGTATTTGTTCCTTCCAAAATCGTAATTGGTTTATCTTTTTTCCCAAATATTTTCCACTGCCCTTTGGCCTTTCTAATGATAGTTATTAGCAGGTGAGGATGAAGTGTCTGTTGTTCCTTTGAATGAACCATTGGCAGCTTATACTGATGAAGATATTAGTGAATTTGTAAGTTATGATATTAAACGCCTATATTTTTACCCATTTCATTTTCAACAATTTCTAATTTGTTTGAATATCTTACTAGGCATCTTTCATTGGTGGATCATATGTTGCTGATGCATCAAAAACTTTAAATGGAGAGTTGACTGTGCCGTTGACTGATGCTGTTAAAATCTATCTTCATCTGTCTAAGGTTTTTCTCCATCTGTTCAGAATGTTATCTGGTTATATTAGAAACCTTTTTTATTCATGTGTTCATTGGTGCATTAATACTCATTTGCAGACAGGGGACAGAGAATTTATAGGTAGACTTTTGTGTCTCATTCACAATATTAAGAGGGCTATACACATTCATGAGGATTTGTCACAAAATGTGCAAAGTCCATCTGAGCTCATCACTGGCTCTTTCGATAGCATCAAGGTACGCTGTCTTCCTTGATTTTTCTGTTTCTTTTTTTGGATGACGTTTATTCAACTTCTGTTCCTATCATGCAATATCCGTTTAACCTCAATTTAGTTGTACCGTAGAATTAAACTGTAATAGAGATACTGATGAGGTTATTAGTGCTATAGTTTCTGGCATTACAAAACTCTAGTACGTATGGGTCATAATGGGCGGTGTGGACATTGGGAGTCTGAAACCTTAATTCTGCCGCCTTCTTGTAAAAGCTTCTTTGCAGCAAAATAACATATATTGAATGTGGTTGTGTGTTTTTAGTCTCCCAAATACTGCCGTCATTCTTTTCTTTCTTTCTTTCTTTTCTTTAAGACGGAGTAATTTTAGTTTATTCTCATCGCTATTCACCATCGGGTTAACAGGCATTCCAAGATCAAAGTGATTCCGAAGTAGATGCTGGTCATAGATCGAGACTATTTATTGTTGCTTTGTCCAAGATATTCCAATTACTCCAAAAAGCATATGATGGTAAGTGGTCGGTTTGCTTTGGTTTGGAGGAGCATACCAATTATTCATTATTAAGCTCTAGTCTTTCAGCTGCCCAATTTTGTGAAGAAGTAACAAATTTTCTGTAACCCGATATATTACAAATTGGCTTTGATGTTATTCTTGCTCAATGATGACTTTACGAGTATGCGTATTAAAATCATTGACTCCCTTTTCGATTTTGGAACAAAATATTTAGGTTTTTAAGATTTTTTTTTTTTTTTTACTTAGATGCCTGTAATTTAACTTGCAGGTCAAATTGTTGGAGTTGTTTTGTTTTCTGGATCATCATCACCAAATGCAGATAAAGGATTAAATGTGATCTTTAACCCTCGATCGACTCCACGTTGGTTGGTGGAAGAAGTCAAACTTAACACAACTATTCAAGAAGTGATACTGGTTAGGACAACCCTTGCCTGGATCACTGGAATCATCCTTTTGATTGCAACTCTTATGGGGGTAATTTTTTTTTTACCTTCACTCCATTTTGTTCACTCTAGTTTGAAATAAACATAAAAGTGGTTAATAATACGTTATTTATCTGCTTTTTGTGGCCTTAGAAATATTAGTGACTAGTCTATGATAGAAATTCATATTAATTTTTGGTGCTTCTGACATTTTAGCTCACTTTTATGTTAAAAAAAATATAATATTGTTCTATCCTGTTCATAAAATATTACAGCCTATATATTGTTTTTGTTGATCTTTTGTTGTTTCACTGCAGTCGTGCTGCCTTCTAAGGATGCCTCTCACGAGGGACACCCTACTCTATTCTAATGTGAAATTGGACTAAGATCGGATGAATAGACGATGCCCGAGATGATCGTCTACCATTGAAGCATTTAGGGCATGAGATTTGTGTAAGTGCCCTTTCAACAATGTTCTTGTCTACATTTTGGTGTAGAAAACTTTGGTATTATTAATGGTAGCAATGGTATGGTATGCTGCCTTCTTCAAGATAATGATGGCTTTTGGCTATACAGTGGATGTGGATGGATAACCAGATTTTTGTGTTGTATAATAAAGTTATTTTTGTATATTATTATCCAGAAGTCACAGCTCACTGAGGTCTGGTGATGCAATTATTCAACTTTGTTGTACTTTATTTTTGGTGGACGAGTTTTTCCCAGCTCCAAAATAATTCCATTATTATCATCTTTAATGTGCTTGCATTCTTTGTTAAGCTTCTTTATTCTGATTTTGCACTTGAGTTGTTTTGTGTTTCATGTTAGTAAATGCTCATATCAAGGCGCTTTCTTTTTTTATTCCTTCTGATTCCACTTTGGGGAGGGGACCGAAACATTCCTTATAAGAGGTGTGCAAACCTTCCCTTAATAGACATAGACACGATCTATGTAATAGGCCAAAACAGACAATATCTACTAATGTTGGATTTGAGTTGTTACAAATGGTATTTTAGAGTCTAACATCTAGCGGTGTGCCAGCGAGGACACTAAGGCCTCAAGGGGGTGGGTTATGTGATCCCACGTCGGTTGAGGTGTCCAAAATAATTTCATTATTACAATCTTTAATGTGCTTGCTTTCTTTGTTAAGCTTCTTTATTCTGTTTTTGCATTTGTGTTTCATGTTAGTGGTGCCTCAAGGGGGTGGGTTATGTGATCCCACATCGGTTGGGGTGAGAAATAGAGTATTCTTTGTAAGGGCGTAAAAACTTCTCTCTAATAGACACGTTAATATCGTGAGAGAGATTGATGATGAAGATATGTAACGAGCCAAAGCGGACAAGCAAGCTTAGGTTGCTACACTCTTTTAGTTGATTAATTTTATATTAAAATATTGTGACTTCAAATTGAGTAGAACATGTCAATTACCTCTGTATTGTTTTGTTCGGGGTATTTCAATATTACATTGTTACCTACTAAATCTTTTAAATTAAATTATTACGAATTTGGTCGTATAGAGGTTAAATTCTGTTCATTTAATTGAAGTAAGGTATTAACAATCAATACTTTCATTAATATTTTCAAATGTTGGGTTAAATATTGATATGTTTATTTATTAATTGAGATGGTTTTTTAATTTATTATTATTATTTTTCAGAAATATCAATTCACATTTATATTTCCGTAAAATTGATAACTCTAAATCGAATAAAAAATGTTTGCTTCACTTTAAAAATAAATAAATAAATAAATAAAAAGATTGGTATTGATAGGTTCGGTTGATGTCGGGATTTCCCGCCAGTTCTTCACGCAAAACGTGTGATTTTAAATTAGCACTCTCGGACTTTTCCCCCATTGGAAACATATATATACTTAAAGAGTCTCTTCGTTCTTACATTTATCCCCTTCCTTCCACAGTCCCTTCAATTTCTCTGCTACATTTCAACGTTTTCCTCCATTACGCTTCCTCTCAAAATCTCATCATCTAGTTCTCCTCTCAATTTCCTCATCTCTCGCGCTATGAATCACGCTGTCAACGACCGCGATGAGCTCCTGTGGCTCCAGGAGGAGCAGCGGTGGTTTCATGAAAAGGAACAGTGGATCCCCGAAGAGCAGCGTTGAGCCAGACAACGCGAGTTGCTTCTGCAGGAAATTGCTGAGGTTAAGCTGCAAATTCAAGCGTTAGAACTCCGAAATTCCGTATGAGGAGGGACGGTTTCGTGTCGGAGACTTTTGTGAATATCGCCGGCCTGTTGCATGTCTTGAAGGAGAAGAATCTGATGCCGAGACCGGCGGCTGATGGTGGAGTCGCATTTTGTTGGATGAGAGTACTCGTGAAGAGGATGCGGAGATAGAGAAGAAGGCAATTGTTGAAGAAGTTGTTAAGTTTTCCGACGCAAGTAAGACCGAGAAAGAGGGAAAAATGAGAGGAAGTCCTTGAGAATTGGTTCGGAAGGAGCGGAAGTCCTAGCGCCGCAGGTCTGCTCGCCATTCGCATTTCTTCTATCTAATATTAGAAGGCGAGTCTTAAGGTCCGTGCTGCTTTTGTTCCTATGATTTTGTCACTTCGATAGGATTTGATCGAGTTTCTTAACCATATGCAAGAAGGTTGGTAGATTGAACTTGCTGATAGACGTTGTGCGTCTGAAGCCTACTCCCTGAAAGAATAGTCTTAAAGATGAATATAGTCGATCGAACTCTATGGCAGATGTTGAGATATATGTTTGGTTCTGTGAAATTCAGTTGAATCGAGTCTCTATCTTGTGCACTTTTGGTATTGTTTTCCTGCTTTTAGCTATTTGTGATGCTTTAATTTCTTTTATTACGGATCACTGACTTTTATTACGAATCACTAAAGAACATGCTTCTGTATTGTTTTTCCTCTATCAAATGCCAGGAAGCATTGCGTAGGCTAGGATTTTACTCCGGTGAAGAATACATGGAATTTTCTAGTTTCTGCAGTGGAACTGAGCGTGCTGTTAAAGACTTGGCAGGTAAGATTATTCTGGAGTTGGTAGTAGTCTATCCTTCTTTACTAATTCAATAGGATTTATACAGGTTCAGTCCATATTCTTTCAATCCGTGACACTATACACATATTTTTTTATTTGATAGGCCGCCTCAGGCTTCCGCGAAGAGAATCTAACTGAGAGTCCTGGATCAGATGCCAAAACAGATGAAAAAGGGAATATTCCAACCGATCAGGAAGTATGTTTTAGAACTTTTTATTCCATATATCTAATGTTGAATCAGAATCAGGTGACAGATCTCCTTGGAGTTCTCTTTGCAAGTATTTCTGGTTGATCGAAGTATCTGGTATTTGGTGTTTTCTGTTCATATGCTCAATGGCAACTGTCTGTCTTGTACGATTTAGTTGAAGAATACATCTGATACTTTGCCAAAGCAATGTGTTGCGTAGGAACATTCCAACATATTTTTCACTTGCGAGTTTCTATAGAGTCCAGAAGGTGCAGTGCCTTCTTCATATATGCATATGTAGATATATATATATATGTGTGTGTGTGTGTATCTATATATGTATGTATGTATAGATTTTATGTAATACTAAGAAAAAAAATGAAAGAATACTAGCCTACAAGAAGTGCCTGCTCCATTGTGATACAAATAAAATTTCAAATCTCACTCTTCTCGAATTCCATCGAGTAAAGAACTGATCTCGTCTTGCATAAGCATATGGCATTCGGCGTTTAAGTAACAGTTGCAAAGTTTTTAAGTGCCATCCTCTCACAGAATTTGATGTCAATCATCTTGTACGTATTGCTCTGTCAGTTTTACTTTCAATAAATTTGTATGCAATTTTTTCCCTCATCTGTTTTGTCTGACACTGAATATTAAATGTTTGCATTCTGAATATTGTTCTTCTCTTCCCTCCTTTTTTGTTGTTAATTTAATAACTGAAATACCAGAGATTCAGGAGAAGATAGTGCAAGTTTTTCTCATAGGAAGGAACTGATGGGAAGACCCCGCACGACTTCACAGTAAATATGTAGATGTTGTGGGTAGGGTCGTCAGTTGTGCACAGGTACATGACACTATTCGATCATATGTTTAAAGTGCATTCTTTTTTCTTTTTTTTAGTAACCAGGATTGAATTATCCAACGCTCTAATTCATAGTCTAAGAAAGTCCTGGAATTATTTATCAAATTTCCAAAAGAACTTCAACACAAAACCTTAAAATTCAAAAGATCTACCAGCACTATTATCCATTGGAATTTTTGTCATAACAAATGAATAAGTTACTAAAAAGAGGTATGCAATCGAAAAAAAAAAGATTTTTAACTTTTAGCTTTTTTTAACCCAACTAAGATATGTCATCGACTTAGACTTGGAGATGGGAGGCTCGAATCCCATGCTTGATTGAAACTTAAAAAAAAAAAACTATTTTCCTTGTGCGTGCACACACATTGAATGCTCTTACCTAGATCAATTCTATGTTTTGTTATACTGTCTTTTTTTCAATTTTACCTAGATCGATTCTATGTTTTGTTATACTGTCTTTTTTTCAATTTTAAAGTTCTAGATCAATTGTCTTTTAAAAAAATAAATTTATCAAATACCTAGTAACTCTGTGACTTATTAGGTACAAATTGAAAATTTAAGAGCCAGTATAGATATTTTTAAGCTAGACATGAACCCAAACTTTAGAAATTAAACATGTTATACAGCCATAATTTAATCAAGATTTAAAAGCTTAATAGAAGACGCAGTATAATTTTTAGTTTTTGGTTAAGTCAACCGACAAATTTCTATTAATCTCTCTTATGTTAGCATGATGTTAGCATTGGATACTTTTGTTGAGTTAAATTACATTCAATTTGTTGAAAATTATTACCTCCAGTTTTAGTAATAAATTACTGTTCGTGTCAGTTTCAATATTGATCCAAGCTCTAATATCGACCTTATTTTTAAGACCAAAATGCAGCATTCTCCAATCAAAATATTTTCTATCCAGATTTTTTTCCCGATCTATATCTATAATATAATTATCTATTAGATAATTATTGATAGGGATATCCGTTAGTATATCAAAAAATTTCCATTTATCTGTGTTGTACTTATACAAACTTTCTTGATTATTTTTTACTTGTACTGTTAATTCATAAATAGATGAATCTTTATTATCTTCATAATTAATGGATTTATATGATAAAAGATCATATATATANTTTTTTTTTATTGTTCAATGGGTTGATTTCTTGATTCATTGTGAGATAATTAAAATCTTTCTTATCGATTTTTTCAATTTGTTGAAAATTATTACCCCCAGTTTTAGTATTTTTATTACTGTTCGTGTCAGTTTCAATATTGATCCAGGCTCTAATATCGGCCTTATTTTTAAGACCAAAATGCAGCATTCTCCAATCAAAATATTTTCTATCCAGATTTTTTTCCCGATCTATATCTATAATATAATTATCTATTAGATAATTATTGATAGGGATATCCGTTAGTATATCAAAAAATTTCCATTTATCCGTTCTAAACTTTTAAAAACATCTAATAAGCATCTAGGTTTTTAAACTTATTATTAATAAATTCTTAACCCATGAAAAAAGTTTCAACTTCATGTCTAAACTGCAAATTCAAAAAAAAATATCATCCAACATAAAATTAAAAAGAAAAGAAAAGACATTTTTAAAAATCGATTTTATATTACTCGAAATGTAACTATCTTGTAACACTAAAATAATAGATTTAAACTAGACAAATATACAATATTAGAAGGCCAAAATATCATATTTTCAAGGAGTATTTCATGATAATCAAATTTTTTGTAAACCTTTTATTAACTATTTACCAAAGCTTTTGTTAAATAATCGGCATCAACGAGGCATAGAAACAAAATATTTAAAAATTTGAGAACAGAAATATGAAAGCTGAAGTTCCTTTCAATAATATTCTTTTTTTGTCTTTCGTTTTCTATTTTAAGGACAAAAAACATATTTAACTATTTAATAATCTATTTTAGAAAAAAAGAACAGGAAAGTATAACATGTACGATATATTCTCTTTTTTCTTGGAAATATATATTTGTTTAATAACTTCTTTTGAGAAGTTCAAAGATAAAAGAAACTTAAAAAGTGCAATTAATACATGTATATATATATAAGAAAATCTAATATATCTGCCCTTTTGATTCCTACGGCAAAAGAAAAGGGCAGTCAATTTTTCCTTATTTTATTATCTTCGTAAAAGGGCTATTAAGTGAAAAAAAAAAAAAAAAATCATCACAACAAAAATTTTAAAAGAACAAACAAAACTACCTAGAGTCCACAAGGAGATTTTGACACCGAACAATAGAAAATAATCCAGGTAAAAATTACACAACTAAACGAAAAACATTTACCCTCTCAGTTCAGTAAAACCCCCCATCATCATGAATGTCCCCAGGCCCATTCACACACTCTGACCTAGCGAACTTCTTATTCCGACCCCCCAAGAAAAAGAAAAAAAATTGTGGATTTTCACTTTTTTATTTCATTTACCTTTTTGTAAACTAACAAACAAAACCAAAAACTTATCTTACTTACCATCGAGATGTGCCATCTTCCAACTGTGCTCCTGTAAGAAGTGTGTGTTTACAGGTTTGTTTTCAATTTGCTACCCACTTCAATTTTCCTACTTATAGTTCGCATCGTCACGAACTCCTCTGCCGCAGATGGGTGTATTCCAACCTGAAGTTATAAAAATGAGTTTGAAATAATTTCTAGGATTCTAAGGCACTTAAAACGGGACTTGAGAATGCTTCTACGCGTGCATAATTAAGAACTAAGTTTGAAATGACTCTTCAAATACCTAAGAAAGGGGAAAAAAAAATTGACTTGAGAAAATCGTTGAAAACAAATTTAATTAAAATCACTAATGCTTTTTCCAAAATTTCAAAATGAGCCGGTAAAAACAAGTTTTAGAGGCAGTTTGAAATGGCTTTTCAAATGCTTAGGAAGAAACCTTTTTAAGCATTTGAGAAGTCATTCCAAACCACCGATGGACCCTGCTACTTCACTTCCAACTCAACTAACCAAGGGTCCTCCCCACTCCCCATCGGCAAATAAGAGCAAACAATATCAGAATTGAAACAAACCATATTCTTCGAATTATAATATTAAGTTTGCTTGAAAGATCGTGAATTTCATAGTATTTTAAAAGTAATTTTCTACAAGGGCAAAGGAAATGAATGGAAACTTACAGTGCTGTCAAACTGTTGCTTGGTTGCTCCACATTTCAGAGCGACAGCAATTCCCTGAATAGAATCACACCATATAAACGTTGAAAATCAACTTCAAAATTACTATGAATCGTATATGGAATGGAAAAACAAGGATCCGCAGTGCCGGGCCAGGTTTCACTTGCTTGGTCCATTTTAAAAAGAAAAAAATCAATAAATACTAGAACAGAATTGTAGCAAATAAAACCATATTTTCTAAAGAAAATATAAAACGCACCTGCATAATTTCAGGAGCATCTGGTCCACACATCGATGCACCAATGACCTTTTGTGTGTTACCATCAACCACAAGCTTCATCACTGTCTTCTCTTGTCGACTATAACACCATCAGATAAGTGATGTACTTACAATAACCAATTTTGTCGACAAAACAAGAATTGCAACTAACTAAAAAATTGCATCCACTAAAATAGATTTTAAAAAACGTGTAAAGCCATTTAAGGAAAAAAAAAAAGAAAAAAAAACCCACATCGGGGAGCTCGGAGTAACAGCTTCAAGTGTTCGGTTTAAGTAAGTCAAAATGCCACTTCATGAATGGAAAATGGAAATTCTTTTCATAAAAAGAGTAATAATGTTAAAACTAGACTACATAATTGATTTGCATTAATATTTTGGTACCGTTCTTTTATAGTTTTTCTTGTATTAATTAACTCAAGTTCATTGGGAATTTACATTGGTATCCTAAGAAATTTAGGCCTTAAAACACATTTTCCTGGATATCCTATACATCAAGAGATGAAAAGGTTTTAGTCAGTCAAATCCCACCCATAGTCACCGTATACAATAATGAAGCATGGTAATATTATGATTTATTCAAGTTTTGATTTAAATTTGTTCGACGTACCCAGAGATCGTATTCTTCATTGGATTGAAGGAAGATGTGTACACAAGAATATCACCCTTTGCTTTCTCTACAGCTTCTTCTTCACTTAGGCCCACAACGGAGAGAGGAGGTATGCTGCAAATTAGGCGGAACAAATTGGATTATATATCTATTTAATGGATAAGAGAATGTTCTCTGTGAAAAAGTGTAATAGAAGCATATGCAACAGAATAATGCGTATTTAGAGATCTAAGAATAGATAAATTTACTCGAAAAGTCTAAGCAGACATAATGATATCCATTATATCTTATTCCCTATTCGACTCTCCCCCATAAGGATTTTCAAACTCCTTTGGCTTTTGTGGTTTCTTGATTG